GGCAGTGTCAAGCACTCCCTGCACTTCGACCATAAGAACAGATACTTGACTGGTTCTGGGGCCATTAAGCAGCTTTTCAGGCAGCAACTCACCACAGCGAAGAGCTCAAATCACACCCAGCCAGTCCACGTTTTCGTCAGTTTTCGGGGCGGTGTCAGGAGATGGTACGGACTCGGCGTGAATGCCGGGGGGGCACATCTGACAGGCACCGCCCAGCTAGCCAAGGACCTCGGCCTGCAGCATGGTTCGGAGGTGCAGCTGCAGCGGCTGCCTGATGGGCGTGTGGTGCTGGAGGCAGATGTGGAGCCGCCAGAGCCTAACTGCGGGGTAGCGAAGGTGACACAGGCGCTCATGGACAAGAGAAGGGTCTGGATTTCTAAGGCTGTGGTGGTGCAGCTGCTCGGTCCCGGCGGGTACCAAGGAGAGGGTCCGCTGGGTCGGAAGGTCCGGGTGTGGACAGTGGATGCGGCAGGTCAGTTATCCGAGCAGCCCGCAGGAACCATGACACGTAGCACACCTGTTGATGGTGGCGGCCACACGCGTACAAGATGGATAATGAACGGCCTCGCCCCCTGGCTCAGGTCCCAGCGCGCTCATGCCGGGGACCTGCTGCACCTGGCGGCGGTGAAGGCGCCTGGGGGCGGTGACGTCATCACAGGTGTGAGCATTACACTGCAGCAGGTGGGGCCGCGCCGGGGGCCGGGGACCAACCAGGGAGTGGAGGCGGGGGCGACGGCGGCGGGTGGTCAGGGCAGTGACGATGGCAGCGCTAGTGGCAGTGATGACGACGAGAGCATTGACGCGGCCGATGACAGTGATGACAGCAGCCATACATCTGACGAGGAGGAGGAGGAGGTCTCCGCCGTTGCCGCTGCCACTGCCGCCGCGGCCCCAGCCCCTTCCGGCCGCCCTTCTCCTGCGCCGTCAGTCCCGGTGCGGCTGCAGCTGAAGCGCAGGCAGCTGTCATGCGCCGTGGAGGAGCTGCGCGCGGTCCTTCCCGCTGCCTCAAAGCACACCGCCCTCACCCTGCATGCCGCCACGTCCGGGGGCGCCCTGCAGCAGCACGAGGTGCGGCTGGAGTTGTGCGAGGGCCGCTGCTACTTCCGTGCGGGTTTGGGCTTGGGGTCAGTTGAGCATGTGGCGGGACGCTGGGCAGGTGCGGGCTTCTCGTCGTGCTCGGAGTCCGCTGTGGCCGGGGTCGGCGGGGCGGGCTTGCTTGCACGGGGCGCTTTGGGCTTGGACGCGGGTGGGGACTCAGGCGCGGGGGGAGAATGCTCGGGGCTAGGGGGTTCGGCGTCACTCTCGGACTCGGCGGATGGCTCGGAGGTGGAGCTGGCGGAATCTTCATCGGGTGCTTCGGAGGCGGAGCTGGAGGAGTCGTCGTCCGAGGCGGACGTGCTGCTGGAGGTGTTGTCGTAGCTAGCTTCAACGTCTTCCTGTTGGGCCTCGCTCGACTCGTTGTCGGACTTGGCCTCGACATCTTCGGAGGGGGGGGGGGGCTGGGGTCTTGGTACGCTTGGGTGTCGTGGTCTTGGCGGGCTGTTTGCGCTTGGCGGGTGCAGCGGCGGCGGACTTGGTTTTGGGCGACATGATGTTGCGTGGTCTGTGGAGAGGAGGGCCGGGGAGGCGGGTGGTGCATGGAGTTGTGAGGGCGGGTGGAAGGTGGTCTTCGTTAGGAGGGCAGGTGCGGCCGCGCTATGCAGATTGGAGCGGTCGCGGTTGGATGCCAGATGGTGCGGAGCCGTGTTGCGAGCACTGGTATAAGCGAGGGAGGCAGGACGTCGGCAGGCGGCGGGTCGGCCGGAAGTGGCGTGCGGGTCAGTGTGTCACTTACCGAGCGCGCGTGTGCCTAAAAGGTGTCAGAGTTTGAAAGGAAGGTTCGGCGGAGGCCTGCAAAGGGGAGGTGGAGGCGGGAAGAGGGCAGGGATGTAAATAAAGGGCGAGTGTTGCAGGGTGGGGGAGCGACATGCGACAGGTGCATAGGAACTGCGAATGCTTAGTCAAATTGGTTATAGATTGGTCGGTGGTATGTGCTGTTGGTAGACGGGTTAGAACGCTACATGTAATGCAGGTGATTGATTTGAGGCCTCGAGGAGAATGTAGCGTAGACGCTATATGTTATGCACACCTGTGTTGAACGCGTGTTGCAGAGGGTGCAGGCCGCCTGCGGGGAATTGGTGGAGCGCTGGTTACAAATCAGGAGGAGTTGTCAGAAGGGACGAGAGAGGCGCTCACCGGAGAGGGTTGAGCTGTGGTGCCGCAGATGAGAACGGCTATATTGTTGTGGCGATGCATGATATTTATGTGAGGGTCAGTCTGTACTGTAATAATAATAATAATAAGATTACGCCGGGCTTGCCCTGGCGTGGTTTAAGGGGGCGGGTGGTGGTGAGGATCAACGGCTTTCCCCTCCCCTGTACACCCTCCGCCACCGCTATGGGGTAGTTGTATGTAGGTGGGTGTTACCCTCCTGGGTCTTCTGGGGGGAGGCCTCGTTCCATCCTTCTCCGGTGCTTCACTATGGCGTTGAGGAAGTTGATGGCATTGTCATGTGGTGCGTCGCAGCATGTGCGTGCGGCATGCGCGCTGACACCCAGAGTGAGAAGGAGCGGGTGCAAGTCCTTGCGTATCGTCCCACCGAATCCTAGGCTGACCGCTTCTTGTTGGGTGTACTGGACTTTCCACCCTGCTTTTGTGAGGAGATCAGCTAGTTGTCGGTGTTGGTCTTTTTTCTCGTTTTGTTTTGCCTGGTGGTTGGTGTCTGCAGCGTAGCCAACTTCAAGGATGTGTACTGTGTAGTTTGCCTTATTGCATGGTCCTGTGTATCCCGGCTGTACGGTTGCTTGCCTGGGCAGCTTTGGAATGAACAGGATGTCGGGTCGCAGCTTCAATCTTATACTGTCGGGCACGCTCCCGTCAAACAGCCACGCAGGAGGGCGGTCATCAGCTATGTACTCAGGCAGTGCATCCCTCACAGCTGCGTCCATGACCATGAAGCATCCCCCACTGCTACCTTTCGTGATCGCACGGGTGAGCAGTTGGACTGCCAGGTTATGTCTTTTTATATACATGGCCTGCATAAGCGAATGCCTGCAGCCCCCTAGGATACGGCCTCCGGAGTCGGGTAGCCCGCATAGCGGGCAGGGAGCATGTTCATTGCCGTTCACGTCGGATATAGCCGCGCTCCGCACCCGATGATTGTGCTTGCCTACTAGGGGCCTATTGTATCTTTGTGCGAGCTTGGCATTCCAGAGGCACCCATATAGGTAGCACATCATGCTTTGAGATGGTCGGCCACCGCTCCGTTCCACATTTTAACCCACGAAACCTTAGCATGGGAATGGGGCATGCGGTGGGGAAGGGCCCCACTGCCCCTTCCCCACCGCTGAACCCCATCCCTTCCCCATGCCGGAAATGGGATGCTATTTAACACTTGCAAGATAAAGCCTCTTGTTATAGGCTAAGATCGTGTACGTTGCAGCTCATTTGGGGCTTAGGCGTCCATGCCGTGCAGAAAGGATTGCCCTGAGAACAAATTCAACAAAGAAATGAAAGAGGGTGGTGGGGTCCCATGTACCAGGTGTGATAGGATGGCCAATCCCCTCACGCCCAGCCATAATAACTTAAAGCGCAGACGTTAGGCATGTGTGGTTGTGGTTAGTCATCGGTTCCTCCTTCCTTGTTCAGTTCATGACACAGAACTGGCAGCATTAAAGAATACTTTTCCTTGGCTTAGGATGAAACGGGATGCTGCAACAGCCACTCGAGGGGCAATGTAATGTAAAAAGGATGTGCCGATGCCTGTAGGTGCGAAATTTGTGGCAATGGCGGGACAGGGGGATGAGGGGCTTCAGTCACCTATCTACTTCCTTTGGAAGGGTGTCGTGCGGCCGTAAGCCAGGGTCATCGTGAGTATCGGAAAGTGATCTGTGTCACCCACAAAGCCTGCGAAGATTGCCGTAACGTGGGGTTTCTGCGCATGCACAAGTGGGCATGATAATCAGCGGTGGAAGTGGGGTCAGTGCAGCTGTTCTCATGATCAGGTAACACAAACCGATGACGTGCAAGTTTATGGCCGTCGGCATCAGGGGGCAAGGTAGTAGGTGCGTGGACACGTTTGGCATAAAGGTGCCTGGTTGCTGCTGAGAAAGGATGCCGGCTGCCTGCAAGCATCAGGAATGGCTATTAACAATTGGGTTGGAGACTCTCCAGGGACATGTTCTGCACAACAGGTAGGGAAGATTCTTTACGGTCATTCACTCTGGGAAAACGGAGCGTTCGTATTTTGGGGAGAATTCGTAATCTAGGCCAAACCATTCGTATTCTAGGCCATGTGGGCTTTACGAATGGTGTTCACACAGACATGCACCTAACCCTCTCACTGGGTGTATTTAAGTCCTATATTGTGTTAAAATCCACGCCCCACCTAAAGTGCACACATGTGCACACACGCACTCTGACTCCCTGTTTTCCGTATTCCATCTGGCACATTCGTAAAATTGGGACACCCGTCCGTATCCTGGCACTGGCCCATAATACGGAGTATCCCCAGCCGAGAACAGGTGTAATGCAGGTATACGACGTGCTACAGGAGTCCTTATGAAATTGTTCTGACAGGTTTACGCAAATTTAGTACCATGCGGCATGGACAGGTGGTACCTTACATACACAACTCATCCAAAGTGTGCTCTGGGAAAAGCACGGAAGGACCCGTCACCCAATGGCAGGTCACTTCACGTTCCGCCACCACATCACCACACGACTCTCATACGAAGAAACCGGCCCCTCATGCCAGCATGGCCAATATTTTGCCAATATTTAAGTTAACATACACTGCACGGACAGGCCTACCTAACCATAGGCGGTGTAGTACAGTTTTAGTGCATTCTTTAGTACAGTGTGTAGTACATTCTTCGGGGTTGACGGGGGCATGCTGATACCACACATACCGATACCCATACCCATGCAGGCGGCGTCGTCTACAACATGCTTACGGTAGAGCCGGGTGACAACGTGCTGTATGCTGGCTTGCCCACGGAGGACGGTAACATCGCGGCCGTGGGCATGACTTTCAACTTGGAGCAGCTGCGGTTGCTGGTGGAGGGGGCGGCGAAGTACGACTACCTAAAGACGGATGCGGCAGCTCGGAAGGCAAGAGCTGCTAACCTGTACGAGCTTCCATCGCTCGAGGAGCTGTGGATGAAGGAGTGCCGCCCGTAAGCATTGCCTTTGCATCCGTGCTCTGGTTCATTGTGACTAGCACGATATCAGACAGGCTAAACCATGCTCCATTGTGATGCGCTACCTGGACAATTGTGGGATGCAGCTGAAATGAATCGCTTCATTGTTCCATCGTCCCTTTACATGCCTTGATGCTATGCATGCAACTGCTATCATAACACGCATCCGCTGCTTTCCTCAGTTACTCGTCCACCGCCAAGGCCAACGAATGTGGCAAGGGCAAGGGCGTGAACGACCCGAGGAAGGATTTGCAGGACAAGGAGGCTTACGTGGCAAATCTCAAGACGATGGCCATGCGCGGGTCCAGCCTCTACACGGGATACGCGATTGTGGGCGGGGGTGCGTCTCAAGCTGCTAGCTATACGGAGAAGCTCAGCAAGTCCTGCAAGGAGTACTTTGAGTCCAAGGGGCAGGTGAACGGGGCGTGGGCTCGGATACGGTATGTTGTACATATGGGCACAGATAAGGGTATGATTCATAATGTTAGGAAGGCGTAATGTTAGATTTGCCCGATAATTGTGCATGGGACAGTGTATGGTGACTGCTTGCTTGTTCCTTTGCGACATTCTATACCCAACACAGTGTACCGGCCAAGTTATTCTCCCGTGTCGTGTCGTTGCCACTCATGCCACAGGCGGATGAGGAGGTTGCAGCGGCAATGGAGGGCGTAAGGGGTAGGTCCACCCAATGCACCCACTTGCAGTACGTACTGGAGGCGGGGCTCTTGTACAGCAAGGACGGGCAGGGACAGTACCCTATCGACTTGCTGAACAAGTGCCCTATCAAGGGCAATGCTGGTAGGGCCGCCGCGAGGATTCGGCAGTCCATGTACTTGCAGTACGCTGGGCGCCTTGGCGCGCTGTGCAAGAAGGATGCTCCAATCGCACCGTTGGGGCTGCTACTGGCGGTGGGAGCTTCATCCTCGTACAGGGAAGCTGGGGAGCTTATCAACCAGTACCGGGCGGCTAGGAAATCTGGTGGGTCACATGCAACGGCTGCTTGGGTCTCGGGCGTAGGGTGGGCGCTTGCTTTCACTGGGGACATGCAACCACAGTGGTGTTTTCCCAGCGCAAAGAACGTGCTTTTTACGTAACACACTGGCGCCATATGCAGGCAATCCGCCCGCTCGGCCAGTGGTGGCATTGGCGCGGCGCTTCTTTGGCATCGCGCCGGAGCCTCCGTCCGTCAACACAATCCCCAACACGGCTGGTGGCGTAGGCGTTCGGATTGAGGTCGACGGAGGTGGCGGTGCTGCTGGTGGCGCCACAGGCGGTGCCGCAGGGGGTGCTGGAGGTGCTGGTGAGGGAGTGGCCGCGCCCTTGGTGAGCATATACGGGGGGTGGGGGAGCCGTGGGAAGGACTATTCTGGTGACCTTGATCTTACAATCACATGGCTTGTTTGAGAGTATGCTTGCTTGCGGTTAACAGTTACATGCTGCCTATAATGGGCCCTTCAGGATCAAGGTGCGGCCCAGCCTGGTGCGGCGGCCACCACAGCGCACAGCGATGAAGAGGTACGTCAATGTGAAGCCTTCGTGGGTAGACATTTGGCTAAGGACTGCATGGCTCACACAGCTCGCATCTTCTGAGCATTTGAAACGGGTATTGGGTGCAATGTGCTGAACCGCCCCTTTCTTATCCCATGTTGTCCCGCAGGAGGAGCCGGATCTGGCGCTGATTAACTTGGATGTCTTTGGTGTCGAGCCGCCAGTGCAGCAGCGTGCGCCACGGGGTCGGCAGCGGGCGTCTGGTCTGGATGACGACCTCGGAGCACGTGGTGGCAGGAAGAAGCAGCGGACCGGGGCTGCTAAGGTGGCGAAGAGCGGTCGTGGTGGTGGTAGAGGGAGGGGAGAAGTTGGCGGTGGAAGAGGGCGTGGGCGGGGCGGCAGGGGCGGGGGGAGGGTGGCGGCAGTGGTTGAGTCGGAAGAAGAGGAGGATGGGGGTGACGAGGAAATGGAGGACGACGAGGAGGCAAGCGGGGAGTCTACTGGGGAGGGGCAGGAGGATGACGTGAGTGTCCGGGATACATCGGATGACAGCAGCAGCAGCAGCGGCGGTGGAAGCAGTGGCAGCAGCGGCGAACGGGCGGGCGGAAACCGGCAGCAGGTAGGCAGCAGGAACTAGAGCAGCAGCAGCAGCGGGGTAAGAAGCAGCAGGCAGCAGTTGGGGCGGCAAAGGTGCCCAAGGCAGGAACTGGGTCGAGTGGCCAGTCTCGGCGTGTGCGGGCTAACCGCTAGATAGAGGCAGACTGGGAGTAGGTTGTTTGCAATGGGCATAGAGTAGCTGTGAGTGGAAACATGGTTCGTAGATAGGTGATCCAAAGTTGGGTTGGGTTGGCTTCACGTGGTGTACCTTTTGTATTGGTTTGGCCGTGATTGCTTGGATGATTTATCATTATAAGCTTGGATGACTTGATAGCACAAACCTGATACCCATGACCATACTTCTTATCTACCTGCAATTTTTGACGTGCATGATCCTATTTCGTTGCAGGGGCGTTGGAGTAGGTTAGTTCAGGGACTGTAGGCAAGATGTTTGATATAGATAGGCAATGGAGTAGATATTGGACTATGGTAAGCTAGCTTATGGATTGCATTGGGGGCGTGGGGCTTCCAGGGGCATGGTCCCTTCGTATAATGGTGGTGAGCATTCGTAAAAAGGAGGAAGGGACTAGGCTCATATGCAGCTTCTGACCATGTAACGAAATGGTGGAGTTCAAAATCATATGACGCATCTCCTACGATTGCCTAACAAGCTGCGTATCCTTACTGACAGGGCTCCGTATTCCCTCGTGGGCTATCCGTAAAATTTCGTATTCCATCCGTATAATAGTGCCGTATTCTTGCAGTCCCCATCCGTAAAATGAGAGTTGCTTCCGTATTCGAGGTACAGGGGGCATAGCATGCTACCGCCTGTTTGTGCTACACGTGCTCCGGACACTATGCGGAAGTGTTCACATTCACTCTAGTGCATGTAACCATGGGACTCCTGCATTACAGGCAATTCGTAAACCTTTCCCCACCATTCGTATCCCTTTCCGTATTCTCTGTCCGCCTTTACGGAAGATACCCTTCCGTAAAATGGGGTCAAAATACGGAAAGGTAGACCCCCATTTTACGAATGGGTGGACCCTGGTTTTCCCAGAGTGATTTAAACTGTTGATGGTTGTAACCGGTGTGGCTTTCGCGAGTCCTGCGGTCGATGTTAGCATGGCTGTAGCTTAAGGAGTCGAGATGCAACAAAGCACGAAAGGAAACCCTGGCTCACCAACCATAAGCTAGGACGTGGGGCCAAAACATTCAGTCCATGGCTTTGAGGGCGCCATAGCCTTAGTAGAATGCCGCGGGCTTGGTCAATGTTGGCATGTTGTTTGCCAAAGCCGAGAATGAGAAGGCGGACTGCAAGTAAGCTAAGACTCTTATGGTCAACCTGGGTAAATTGTGATTTATGGCAAAAGCAAAGGCAACAATGGACCAGAACAATCAGCTGTCTCGCTGAGAAGTGTACGGCGCTCGGACCAAGTGTCCGGTGACCCAATAGGCTGAAGCGGCGGGCTTTTGCTTGTAGCAAATGTCAAAACGTTATGGTGGGTCCAAAGGACCCGGTTGGGTCTTTGGCGCGGAGCTTTGGGGGTGGTTTGCGTGGGAATGGCTGGTTCATGCAGACCGAGGCTATGGCCAAAAGCGGACTTTGACTATTCCAATTACATAAATGAATAAAGGGTGTAAAACTGATAAGATATAAAGCTTTGTTTGGCTGATTTAGCGGCGCAGCAGCACAGCGACGATTGGAATTCGCGAGGGCCCTATTTGTTTAGCCAGGGATACATAGGAAAATGACGGCAGCCGCACCGAAACCACTGTTCGCTGCCGCAATTTACTAATTTTGTTTACTTAGGGTTATAAGGAGCGGTGGCAATTAGCCGTCTCATTTTGACATGCCGGTTGCCGCTGGCTTGCTGTGTTCTCGTGCTTGATTTCCTGTCTATTTCCGGGAGGGCACTTTTAATGAGGTCAGTGTAGAGAGTGGGCCGGGCATAGCCTATGTAGGTGGTATTGCCTGTGGGCGCGTCTATTGCTGCTGCTCCTAGGCGATTGAAGCTGCCATCCTTTTGCACACTGCCGTCTGTGTAAATGCCGTTGCAGGCGTCGTATCGCAGTGACACCTTTGCGGGGTAGTAGGATGTCAGCGTGGTGGAGTCGAGGTCTTCTGTGGCGACTGTTCGGCAAGGTGGGGGTGGTGGGAATGTTGCCATCTGGTGCACTCTCCGTTTTACCCATTGGGGGGCCTTCCAGCCCGCTATGCGTTGCTCATGTTCTTCCTCCCCACTCGTGTTGATCTTGCGGGGGTGGGGAGCATGTCGTGGCTTCTCTAAGCTAAGCTCTCGTTGCAGGGCGGCGCTGTATCTCAGGCCCGCGGGGTTTCCTATCAGCAGGAAATCTAGTCCTCGTGTGTATGGGTTCCTGGCATGTGTGCTGCTTTCCCCCAGTGCTGCTTGGTCCGGTATTAAGCATGCCACCCACGGGGTGGGTGGGGGGCGCCTCCCCTACCCACTTCACATGCGGGTTGGACAGAAGCGTGTTGTACAAGGCTGTAGGTTGGCGGGGGAGAACGACGAGGGTCGCTGTGGGGTCGTCCGATCCGCGCGCCTCGTGCGCCCATGCAAGTGCCCAGTGTATAGCGTGCATGCATGCCTGCGTTGTTGCCTCTGGGAAGGCAATGGATATCCCAGTGAAAGGCTGGGAGTAGGCATCATGCGCTGCACCGAAGACCATGTCTTCTTCAAAGGAAGAGTAATAGACATCTGTGCAGCTGGCGACATTAAAGGGGGATGCGAAGCGTTCCACCCATGTTGCGGGGTGTGCGAATGCGGCCTTGATGCGCCCCATTGTTTCATCCGTTAGCCTCTTCTCATAAGCTCCGACGATTGGGTTCTTTCTGCATCGGCACCCTGGCTTGTATCGCAGGGTAAGCCTGGCGATGTCTTCAGGGAATCCGCCTGGGGAGGCGCGTCGAGCATGTTCCTCAGGGTCGCTCTCTTCGCCTGCAGGTATCTATGTTGCAGCGCCGTGAGTTGGTTCAGGGTTAGGGCTCCCATGCACTGCCCTCGTGGGTCGTACACATAGGCTAGGTGGGTATCAGTGGTGGTCCGCTGGCGGAGCCGCCCAACTTGGATTCTGTAGGATCCAGTGGGGTGGATGTCCACATCTGGGTTGCTGGCTTCGGTGTTTATCTCCACCGCCTGTCGCAGCAGCCTTTGGAGGCCAGTCTTGTTTGCGGGGTCTGGTCCCCATCGCCCTTGTCGCTGTTGTTCGGTAAGGTGTGCGTCCCTTGTTGTCTCCCTTCATTTCTTCGTGTTTTCATCTGTCCTTCGCTCGGCGCTGTACTGCTCCAGGAGTCGTTGCCAGTCGTCCTGTACGGCGACCCTGTCTTCTGGTTCTTCCGTAGGCATCCACTCTATCTCTACCAGGTTGCTAGATGCCCCCGATCCAAACATCCTGCTGATACTTACTGTCCGTTTTGGCTGGTATCCTTGCCTCAGGAAGACTGGCACGGACACTCTGGTGACGATGGTGTTTGCCCAGTGAACCAGGTAATATGTTTCGTGCGATGGTTCTTGCATTGTGTTTGCCATGTTGTCTGCGCCGTCATCGTCAGGTGTGTAGGGTTTGCGTTTATTCCCTGCCCTTGGTGGTAGCCTGGTCCTTTTCCGTATAATTGCTTTGATCCTCGTTACACGATCACTATGGGAGAATAGGGCGGTGGTGAGACGGAATCCTTCTGCGACACTCATGTCCGGGAGGGGGCCCCTTGTGCATTGTAGGCGCGCACGCCGCCAGTCTTGCCGGGGTGATTCGCTACGTTTCCTGCCGCGTGCTCTGGTCTTTCTGCGTCCCTCGCCGTGCCTTGCTTCTGTGTGTGCACGTCGTTCCCCTTCCTCCGCGTCTCTCCCTCCCTGGTCCTCGCCGCATGTGAATAGGTGTTGCGCATGTTCATTTGCCTGAGGGGGTGAGGCCCCCGTGTTGTCCGACAGCAGCTCTCCCCAGAGTTCTTCAAGTTCGTACACGTCGGGTAAGTCCAGGCGCACGTTAAGCCTTGCGCGTGGTTTTTGGTGACTTGCATGATCCCCAATCCATGCGGCCTCTCTTCCAGTGTTGCTGTCCAGAAGGGCTTGTACGCGGGACGGGAGGCGCCGCACCCTCATTGCTTGGGCGCCTTCGGTGTTTGTTTGCCCTATTCGTTTGTGCCGGGCACATAGCTGCTTGTACAGGTCGGGGCCGAAGTACGTCCAGCTAGTTCCCACTGGGTCAGCAGGCATGTCTGCTGCTGTCTCGGCCCTGTCTTCTTCGCGTCATGGGGCACCGTACGCGTATTTGCTGCTATGTATGCCTCCAGGCGTTGCCTTTTTGTTAACCGTCGGGCCCCCCTGCTTCTGTAATTGGCCTCCGGCAGCGCAGACGTGCCTTCGTCTGATCCGTCGGCTACCCTTTCGTGTGCCGCCGTTGTTTGGGGAGCATCATCATCGTCCACCTTAGCCGCGTGGTCTTCATGCTCCTCCACAGCTTGAGCCCCCTCGTTCCGGCGTCGCTCGATGAAGCGACGGATGCTCTCCCTTACGATGGGTTTGGGCACCGTGCTGGTCCTCATTAACTCCGATAAGATTGGTGTTTCCGGGATTCTCCGGTGCTCCGGGCTTAGGGGTTTCGTGCTGGTATAGGTGCTGGCTTTCACTGCTGTGTCCCGAAGTGGCTGAACTGATGGCAAGACTTAAGCGGTTGAGGGTGACTAGGTGTCGCCACTTTATCCGGTTTCCTCCTATGTTTTTGAGTTGTTGTGATGATGTGCTGTTGGGTATTCCTGTCCACGAGCTCATGCAGGTCATAGCCGAGCTCTAGGAGTGGTTGGATGATCCGCAGTGTGATCCCCTGTCTGTTGTATTACGCTCTGTACTTAGCGTAATCTGAGTAGCAGCTGTGGCTACTAGTCTTACAGCTGTACGTAAGGCTCTGTAAACCCGTTACTGTCAACGGTATTCTCGTACTGTCGTGAGAATGGGACTGTTTCTGTTACAGTCGGGACACTGGTCTCTAGTGCTTAACTGCCTACCGATTACTGTACGTACTGATACGTCTGTCTGGGTCGTCATCTGCAACTTCGAGGCCTGTACGACAACCTCGTACCGCGACGCCGCCTACTTCGGGCTATGCCCACCCTAATCGGTAGTTTTCACTACCACCATCTTTGATGGACTTAGTTATTGGATACCACATAGCTGGTATCGAGACGGTCTTTTCGTAGGTGCTATCGCTTCCGCTGATTTCCGACATCATGGACGAGGAGTTGTCTTACGAGTCACTCATGGCTACGGACAATGGTCTGTCCTTCTAACTGAATTTCTCGCTGCAACTTTAGTTGGGTTCCTGCTAACTCATTAGTTCATTGCAGACGCCGTCGAGGCTGCGCAAGCCGAAGTCGTGGTTGCTAACAACCGCGCTGACGCCGCTGAGGCTCGAGCTTTTGCTGCTGAGACTCGTGCTGTGGCCGCTGAAGCTCGCGCGGCGCTCGCTGAGGCCGCGGTTACGCAATTGCAAAGCGTGATTCGGACCGTTTCACACGCTCTCAACAGCGTTGAGCTGCCTTCCGGTGGGGTAATTCCTGCGCTGTTAACATGTCTGACACGTGGGGTGGTTTCCGGCTGAATGGCTTGCCGCCTGGGCTAGGTGAGGGCGCTCAGCCGCCGGGGCAGGGATTCGATACTCAGCCGTTACCGACGGACCAGGATGGCGAGTATGTGCCGCAGTCACCTGACCAACGGGCTGGGACAGAACGGTCTCTGCAGGATGAAATTGATGCTATGTTCGCCCGGCCACGAACTGACCTGCCCCGTGACCCACGCCCACGCCGTTTTCCTCCGTTTTCAGCCACGCGCAACGCTGGCGGCGCGGCTGCTGATGCCGCGCCTGCCCCTGCCGCTGCTGCGCCTGCTCCTGCGCCTGTGGCTGCTGCTGCTGTCGCGCCTGTTCGCGCTGATGAGGTACTTAAAGTTGATGTTCCGGTGCCTAAGCTGAACCTAGACGACAGGATAGAGGCTCGGGACATCCCGGTTAGGACAAGGGCCTTCATTCGGGACATTCACCGGTACTTTGAGCTTGTCAGGGGTGGTCACCTCGACAGTGTGCGTTGCCTCTGTTTGGCTAACGTGCTCGAGGGTCGCGCCAAGCGTTGGCACGACGAGTGGACCCTTGCTCGCACTACGTACACCTCACGTGAACTGCTCGATGCCCTGCTGGTCCGCTTTGCACCGCAAATCCGTTCCCGTGAGACTGAGGCACGCCAGAAGCTTGCCTCTGGTCGCTATCGCATGCGCTCTAGCGAATCTGTCGCTGCATATCAGAGCCGCTTCGATGCGCTGTTCACCGCCATTGCCGAACCCACTGAGGGGGAACGCATGTTCTGGTTCCAGTCTGGCCTGTCTGATCGCCTGACTGCTGCTTGTGCCGCTACCTTCCGTGGCACTCCCTTCAGCTCCTATCGGGACTTGGTACAGGCTGCTCTGGGCGAGGAGGCCCGTCTGACTGCCTCTAAATATGCCCACTCTGCCCTCCGTCTGAACTTCTTCGCTGCCGCTCAGGACATGTCTGAGAGTGAGGAAGAGGAGGTGGAGCGGCCGCCCAAGAAGTCCAAGCACGCCAAGAAGTCCCAGCCTCGCGCTGCTGCCGCCACTGCTCACGGCAAGGGCAACAGCAAGGGCAACGGCAAGGGCCACGGCAAGGGCGGCAACGGCAAGGGCACGCTGGGGGCCAAGGGCGGTGTTGAGAAGGGGAAGGGGGAGCGGATGATGCGGAACTTCCCCTGTTCCCATACTGAGTACCAGCGGCGCTTGGCCAACAACGAGTGCTTGCGTTGCGGGAGCAAGAAACACATGGTGAAGGTCTGCCGGTCGGTCGCTGGTGAGCTGTGGGTGCCTCCTGAGGAGGCCGCCCAGCCGATCGTTGGCTAGGGGGTTACCCAGGCTGGTGTTGAGGGGTCACCTCCTGGGCGTCTTTCACCTGCAGCGCTCGACGTCTGTCCTAGTCGTGCGGTTAGGGCTCCGTTGCCTACTGTGCTTGAGCAGGTCGAACAGTTGGTGGGACGCCGTTTCTCGTTTGATGCCCGCGTTGCCTGCGCTGGGTTCGCTGTTGCATGTAATCTGTTCATGCCGCGCGGTCGTCCTCTGTCCTCTGTCAGCCTAGCTCGGCACACTGTCCTGTTTACCCCTTCCACGCTGCATGAGTTTCAGTCACAACTCGTGCACTACCGGGCATGCAAACGCCAGCATCCTGATACTGCTTGTGGCATTCTGTTGCCTGCATACCTCGCACGTAAGGCTTCCCCACTGCTTACAGGTATGAAGCGGGTGCATACGTTTAGCAAGGGATCTGTTCTCTTTTACGGGCTAGACGTCGAGGGTCAGCTTGTTCCCCTGCCTGGTGTCTCGCATGCAGTAGATGTTTGGTATGATGCCCCCTCTTCCTCTGCTAGTTTGGCTAACGCAGCACCCGTTGTGTCTAGTATTCTTCTGCCAGTTGCCGCCGCTGTCTCAGGTGAACAACTGCCGCTGATCAAGCTCCGTGCTGCTGGCTGCGACCTCTCTGCCCTGGTCGATTCTGGAGCTAGTCATGACTTCGTGTCTGACTCTGTCGTACGGCAACTGGGTCTTCGGATTCGCTCTAGTGAGTGGAAACACGTTACCCTCGCTGACGGAGGTAAGCAGGACATTCTGGGCCAAGTGACGCTGCGCCTGTCTGTAGGGCACATGCATCTCACGCTGCAGCCGTTTGTCTTGCCAGAGCTCACTGACGCTGCGTCGTACATCTTGGGATCTGCTACCCTTGATAAGTACGCTGCCGTACTCGATTTCGGTGCTCGCTGTTTGCGCCTGCGCAAGGGCACTCTGACCTGCAAGGTTCCTGTGTGTTTTGCGTCGAGTACACCTGATGCCTCTCCGCCCGTTGTTAACTTTGCCGCTGCTGCTCTTTGTCAGCAGGCCGTGCCCGAAACGGTTGGTCGCAAGGCTGCTGTGCGCATGCTTCGTAAGGGAGCCCATGCCTTGCTCGTCCGCCCTAAGCTGCAGCTTAACAACGCTGTACCGCAGTCCGCTGACAAGGACCCGCAGGTTGAGGCTCTGCTGGAAGAGTACGCTGATGTGTTCCGCGAGATTCCTGGTTTACCGCCCATGCGTCCCGTGGATCACACCATTCCCCTGATGCCTGAGGCGCAGCCTGTTTCGCGCCCCATGTACCGCCTCAGTCCCCTGGAGTTGGATGAGGTTAAGCGTCAGGTGACTGACCTGCTGAAGAAAGGTATGATCCGCCCGAGTACGTCCCCGTATTCTGCCCCCATTCTGTTCGTGGGCAAGAAGGACGGTACGCTGCGCATGTGCATTGACTACCGGGGTCTTAACGCTGCTACTGTTAAGAACAAGTACCCGCTGCCACGGGTCGATGATCTCTTGGATAAGCTGAAGGGTTCGGCGTACTTCTCTTCCATTGATCTGCAGCAGGGTTATAACCAAATCCGCATTGCTGACTCTGACATTCCAAAGACTGCTTTCCGTACTCCGTATGGGCACTACGAGTACACTGTCCTCAGCTTTGGTCTTGTTAACGCCCCTGCCACGTTCCAAGCCGTTATGGACCGTACCTTCAGGCAGTACATTGATAAGTTCGTCGTTTGCTATCTGGATGACATCCTAGTCTACTCTAAGACCAAGGAAGAACACCTGGAGCATCTGCGGCTCGTGTTTGACATCCTTCGGAAGCAACAGCTGTACGCCAAGCGTTCCAAGTGCCATTGGGCTCAATCGCAGGTTGAGTACTTGGGCCACATCGTTTCTGTTGACGGTGTTCGCATGGACCCCCGCAAGACTGCTGCTGTGCGGGATTGGCCTGTTCCGACCAATGTTCAAGAGCTCCGTAAGTTCTTGGGTCTGACGAACTACTTTCGTAAGTTTATTGCGCGCTACTCTGTTCTGGCGGCGCCTCTTACGAGTCTCACGGGCAAGAATGCTTTCTCGTCCCCTGCTGCCTGGACTTCTGCCTGCCAAGCTGCTTTTGACGCCATTAAGCGCACTGTTGCTGGTGATATCGTTTTGCGCTTCCCTGATTTCTCCCTGCCTTTTCGTGTCGAGGTTATTACCGATGCGTCCCTTTACGGCACTGGAGCTGTTCTGTTGCAGGAAGGGCGTCCTGTCGCCTTCACGAGCAAAAAGTTCTCGTCCGCCGAGCGCAACTACACTACGGGTGAACAGGAATTGCTCGCGGTGTTGCATGCTCTTCGCGAGTGGCGCTGCTATCTGGAGGGCCGTCCGTTTGTCGTCAAGACTGACCACAAGCCCCTCACTTTCTTGCAAGGGGTCCCTACGTTGAACCGCCGACAGGCTCGCTGGATGGAGTATATGGCGCGTTTCAACTACAACTGGGAGTATCTGTCCGGCTCGCTCAACATTGCTGATGCGCTTAGCCGACACCCCAACTTGCATGCTGTCTTTCTGTCTGCGGTTACGCGTAGCCAGACTGCGCAATCTGCCCAGCCGCCGTCCGTTTCTGAGTTTGCTGCCCGCATTAAGCGTGGTTACTCAACTGACCCATGGTTCACTGTTGCCAAAAATACCGCGAGGCTGACTTCTGATCGTGGTTTTTGGGTCCGTACAGATGGTGATCGCCGACAGTTTGTCGTCCCGAATGACGACGCTCTGCGCCGAGATCTCCTGCGGAAGTTCCATGACGGTCCTCTGGCTGGACACCCTGGCTGCACGCGTTTGGTGGAACTCCTGCGCCGTACCTTCTGGTGGCCTCGTATGGCTAAGGACGCCGAGAACTACGTCCTCTGTTGCAGTGAGTGTCAGGCTAACAAACCCCTGTCGGGCAAGGGTCACGGTCTGTTGCAACCGCTGCCCATTCCGAATGCGCCCTGGAAAGTGTCTCTATGGACTTTGTTGTCGCACTGCCCAAAACTGAAGGGGGATACGACGCTGTCCTTGTCTTGGTTGACCGTTTAACGAAGATGACACACCTGGCTCCTACCACCACCGCCTGTACTGCTGAGCAAACTGCTCGCCTGTTCTTTGATAACGTGGTACGTTTGCATGGAGTCCCTGCTAACGTGGTCTCTGATCGTGGTCCTCAATTCGCAAGTAAGTTTTGGGCTGCGTTGGGTGAGCTGCTGTCTATGCGCGTCAATCTGTCGACTGCGTATCACCCTCAGACCGACGGTCAGACTGAGCGTGTTAACCGCACGTTAGGTGACATGCTGCGCAACTTTGCTGGCCGTAACCCGTCTGCCTGGGATACATACTTGACTGCTGCTGAGTTTGCACTGAACAATGCTGTGAACCGCTCCTCTGGGCAAAGTCCGTTCTTCCTGATGTACGGATTCCATCCCGCCTTGCCTGTTTGGCGTGAGTTGGACGTCTCTGTTCCTGCTGCTAAGACGTTTGCCAAGTCTTTTGTATCCCGCCTTGCCGAAGCCAAGGCCTGCCTCGAAGCTGCTCAACAACGGGCCGCGGATTACTACAACCGCAACAAGAAAGACGTGGTCTTCACCCCGGGTCAGTTAGTGATGTTGAGTACCAAGAACCTTCGCAGTAGGGTCACGGGTCCACGCAAACTGCTTCCTCGCTGGGTTGGTCCGTTCCCTGTAGTACGCATGGTTGGCTATGCTGCTGTTGAGCTACGCCTGCCGTCTGACATGCGGGTTCATTCCACCTTTCACGTGTCTTTGGTTCGCCCATACCGTGAAGCTGACGAGTCCTCCCCTAGTGTAACCAAGGAGCCGGGACCGGTGGCTTGGATTAACAATGAACCCCAGTACTCTGTTGAGCGCATCCTGGATTACAGGCTCCGCCGCGTCCGCTCTGGTCGGCGTCACCGTAACGTGCACGAGTACCTTGTCAAGTGGCTTGGTTACTCGTCTGAGCACAACAGCTGGGAGCCTGCTGCCAACTTCACCCCGGATCTGAAGCCTCTGCTGGATGAGGTCCGTCTTCGGTCTCAAGGGGCAGCGAGGACGCTGCCGCGAGAAGGGGGATAGTTGTTGTATTACGCTCTGTACTTAGCGTAATCTGAGTAGCAGCTGTGGCTACTAGTCTTACAGCTGTACGTAAGGCTCTGTAAACCCGTTACTGTCAACGGTATTCTCGTACTGTCGCGAGAATGGGACTGTTTCTGTTACAGTCGGGACACTGGTCTCTAGTGCTTAACTGCCTACCGATTACTGTACGTACTGATACGTCTGTCTGGGTCGTCATCTGCAACTTCGAGGCCTGTACGACAACCTCGTACCGCGACGCCGCCTACTTCGGGCTATGCCCACCCTAATCGGTAGTTTT